TTGTATACATTATATATTACGTATAAAAATATATTACAATGTAAAAATATACAAAGAATATGAGTACATTGCCGGCATTCAGATAACTTTTGCGGCATTCTTTCATGAATGTGTATATTTATACAATTGTTCTTTGAACTATATCAAATTTTACGACTCACTGATAGTTTTTTAAGTTACTATATAAAAATTATTACACTTTATCAAATTGATTGAAATGATTTAGATAAAGTGGTAGAATGTATAAATATACAAAGATTTTAAGAACATAAACGGCATTAAACTTCAGTGTTCCTGTGGCCATTTTCATCTAATTTCCTGAACGTATTACCACCTGTTTGTAGCAGAGCGTGAATTTTGAAATTCCAGAGAACCGCGTGACACGATTTGACGTGACGACGGAAATGGTGGACAAGGTGTATTTCAGCACAAAAAACACCATATTTTGTTTATTACTATAGGCCCAGGGTATATTCGTGATGTAGGTATCAACAAAACTACTAAGGTAGGCCTAAGTATTAAAAGAAAACGTGTTTTTAATATTTTGAGATTTTTAATTTCCGTTACCCAATAATACGAATCAGTTCCCAAGTAGGCGTGCATGACATAGTGTAAATACACTAGAACGGACGCTGGGGTTTTTTAAGGTATGCATTTTTATATAGCTGTACGCTTCAGTGTTAAATAAAATTGAAAAAAGGTATATAGGACTAATTCATGTTATAATACAGGTATGGTACTTGCTTCAGTGTTTTTGTGGCCATTTTCACTTAATATTCTAAACGTACCACCTGTGTAGACTTTGCCAAACATGCCAAAAGAACCACGTGAACTAATGGCGGATATGATCGATAGCATGTATTCTAATAGAAAACTCCATAATTTGCTGTATTATAGGGTAATTTCTGTGATGTATATCAACAAAACTACTAAGTTACGTAGGCCTAAGTGTCATAATCAAATATTTGTAACTTCAAAGTATATTAAATGCACGTTACGCCCATGGGCGTCAATCGGTGGAGAACGGGAACACCCCTAACATTTTAAAGTAGGGGACATCATATCAACCCCACCCCACACTTTTCTCTAATCTTCTATAGGCCTAGTTAAAACCCGATTTTTCAAAGCGAGTGGAGAGCAACGGCGGCGGAAGCGGGGCGGGTGTGCGCCAGGGGACATTGGCCCTCCCACTTTTTCTACGGGGGAGGGGGATTTTGGGACTGTTTCCAGCACCAGTGACAAACATTTTACGAACGCTGCAATGTCATTATTATTATTATTATTATTATTATTATTATTATTATTATTATTGTTATTATTATTATTATTATCATTGTTATTATTGTTATTATTGTTATTATTGTTATTATTATTATTATTAATATTGTTATTATTATTGTTATTGTTATTATTATTATTATTATTATTTGGTGCTTAGACACCATGTTTATTTGCGTCTTATAAATTGACCTATTATTATCATTATAAAATACATATATAAATATTTCATTTTGTAACGAGCATTACAAGTTTCCTTTTTGAGTTGAGCAATCAAATGTTGATTGACGTCTGTATACGCACGTCTGTAAAGTTTCATTGAAACCCACCCTCAAGCATGAAGAAAAAATGGCCTGCCTTCGTGAATTCTGTATTTAGGCATATGGGGGGAGGTAGGCACTCTTTTATGGAGCGACGCTTTAGTTCTCTTTATGCTAGCCACGAAGATGTATAGTAGGTGTAACTGATTGGCTTACAGTAAACCTTCAAACTAGCTGAATGCAACCACATTTAAACTCCATCTAACGAAAACAATAAGATAATTAATTAGGCCATTTTTTAAAATAAAGTTCTCTGGAGGTTCTACAGAATTAACAATACGTTGTAGTTAATGTGTTGTTATGTTGTAAAAACTGTATTGAGTAAAAAAAATAAAAATAAAATCGAATAAAAAGCTTGACATTAGGAATTAATCATTTGTGATACAAAATGACATAGGCGATGTCAAGTGCTACTGAACTGTGGCAGATTTAAGGGGTAACCTTGTCAGTACGAGCCCCCAACCTCCTAATTTTTTTCAAATTTATAAAAAAAAAATGGAGAAAATAGACAAAATTGTATTTTAATCTGAGAGTGACATTTCGGCCATCTGTAGGTGCCATAATCATAATTTTTCTTACCTCAGCCCCAACAGTTGTGCGGAGGAGGTGGGTGGACATTTTATTTGCGCAAAACCCTCCCTGGGTCCCCTCTATTTCGACTTCCTGAACCCGCCACAGTTGGAGTATCATTTCCGGGCTACATAGAAGGGTAATTTTTATCCATCGGAGGAAAAGTGAAGTTTGTCGTCGGGGAACCCATATCAAGGATAACCCTTATGATAAATAATTCATTTAAATCGTGGAAGCAATCTCGACTTTGTTCGGAAATCTGTGACGCATTCAAGGGCAAGGGGGTAAATTATTCAATTTTTTTTAAAATGAGGATATAAGCAAAATTATATTCAAATTTCAAGTCTGAGAGTGTAATTTGCCGCCATCTAGAGGTGCCATAATCACAAATTGTCTTACCTCAGCCCCTGTGGCTGAGGTGGTATAGATTCTCCATCTGCTAAAGTACCCATTGGCGAATTCAAGGGGACCCAGCCGGCCCGCCCTACCCCTAAATTGTTTTTAAAAAAATGGCGATATATAGATAATTATATTCAAATGTTATGTCTGGAAGTTCAATTTCCGTCCATCTAGAGGTGCCATAATCACAAATTTTCTTAACTCAGCCAACCATGGTGGGGCTGAGGTAGTATAGATCTCCTGTCTGTGAAAGTACCCTCCCTGGGCACTTCTATTTCGAATTCCTGGATCGGCCACTGGAAATTACAACAAATATAAAGTCATATTACAGTAGCTCGATGCCTATAAAAATTCACCAAACTTCGTAAAATATCTGTAGCTTCCCGGAGGCTTCGCCCCTGGACCCTCACCGGGGGTCCTTGGCGGCCCCTTAGCCCTAGCCTGCATGCTCGCTTCGCTCGCAATTTGCACCTTATGAAATGTCCCCCCACCTTCAAAAACGTTCCACCGCCGTTGGTGGAAAGAACAATTATTATTACAAATGACTGTCATTAATTTTGTCTCTCTGTCCTCTGTTCCAAGTGTGGTGCGTACTTCCGGATCAAAACCGAGTAAACACAGTTTTTTTTCATTTCGGAACTATCTCAGTAACCACTCCATCGGTTTTAGAGGTGCAATGGTTATCAGAGACTAATTTAATGTAAAAATGGTGTACTTTACGTTGTTAAAATTGGAAGGGTGTAAACTTATTAGGCCAACATTTTCACAAACTCAAAAGTGCACATTTTCCACAAAAACTATATATTCCTTTTACATTATTATTAAGACCCTTCTATACTAGTGTTTAATATTATCTGCATACATAGATTCTTGTAAAGAAGTTTGTGAAATAAAAATGGTAACTAATGTTTTGTGTGCTACCTATCTCCCTAGTCCTCTTTGATCGTAAATTAGACGGTAGTATTTCCACTCTCAATAGCGTAGTCGCAAAAATAATTGCACAAAAATGAAATTCAAAAAAAGGAGAAAAGGAACCTCTTGATTGATTTTAAAAGTACTGTACATGCAAAAAGACTAAATTAGAGTGACTGTTTATCTTACTTGGTTTTTTTTTTTGGTTCAAATACTTCAGAGGCTAATCGGTAGATAATAAATTTTTACTTTTATGAACGTTAGATTGCACAAAATATATAAGCGGGCATGATAACGATTACCAGGATAAATTTGAAAAACTCTTTATGATGAGTATTTCAGTGGCAGATTAAAAAAAGGGCCCAGTCGGCCCACCCTCCTCTTTCAACATTTGAAAGTGCAGAAAAAAGTAGAAAATTATGTCAGAGTGCCATTTCCGGTCAACTAGAGGTGCCATAATAATACAGTTTCTTACCTCAGTCCCAACCATGGTGGTGCTGAGGTGGTCAACACTCCATCTGTAAAAGTCAATCCCTTGGCCCCTCTATAATTTTGGACTCAGTAAAGTCTATAGGCCTAGACGCCAAAGCTTTAGGAGCTGCGGTCCAAGACTTCCTTTTTTAGCAATTCGTGCCCCCCCCCCCCCACACACACACACATTTTAACCACGGATCGATGCCCTTGGTTACGCCAAACAATACGAGTTAGTTTCTTGTAGTGTGTGTGCATGGTGGCATGGTGAGGTCTAAATAAAGTCGGACTGAGCTGGACAATTTCGACAAGAACGGTTGCGATTATAGATCACTGCTGTTCAATAATTTTTTTCGTAGGCCACATTAGATAGAACATTTATTAACTACTAATATCTGAGGGCCAGACCAGTGATGTATCTAGGAGTCTTGAAGTGAGAAGGTAATTTGAAGGGGCGCTGGCCGCAAAGGTGGAGTCGGTGGTTTTTTTTTATGACGGTTAGTTTAATAAACACGGTGCACCACCTCATGTCCGGTTAAGAATAATGAATATCTAGGACTTTACTAAAGTACAACGGTAGCCTTCTATAGAAACACCACACAGCGCAATATTCATATGGCAACTGATTCTCAAACAAAAATATCATGAGAGATCTGTCACTCTCCCATTGGCTTGAAGAACGTACCCAACATTAGAGGACTATCTTTTCGATAGATGTGACTTTGAGGGTGCATTATTAAAATTACGTTCGAATACCCTTCCTCTGAACTACTTGCAAAATTCTCAAATATGCCCTGTGAAGATGATACTTGCAAACTCTGTAATACAGGTGAAGAGGAAGATTAATCCAAATTCTTTGAATTTGCCCTGTTCTTTATAATATCAGAGAAATCGAAATTACAAGATTTAAACAACAGCTTTATAGAAATAATCTTCTACATGTTTTCCAAGAATTTAAACGGTTTTGTAATAGAAATAAATTACATTTTATCCTTGAAATGAAAATAACAATTTTGATGATAACCATATTAACTTTTAATTGACAAATTTTGCAAATCGTTAGCCAAAAGTCGAGTCGAGTGGCCGATGTTAAGCCGCTCCTAACCCATGGTTCGGTTGGTAGAACCTAGTCTTCTCGGATAAGGACTTAAAATGGAGGTCCAATGAATACATCTGGCTCGTATGCACTTTAAAGAACCCATTGCATCTTTCGGAAGAGTAGGGGGTTACCCCAATGTTATGGTTCATTTCAGCCCCTGTCGTTGTGGAATGATGTGAACATTTTATCTATTCATTTTATTTTTGAATATTTAAAAACTGGGGGAAAAAGGGGCGTAACTGCCCATTTTTACACCTTTTTCCCCCAGTTTTTAAATATTCAAAAATCTGTATCTCGTTCACCGTTGCTCAGTTTTTCATCAAACAACTTTTTTCTGTCTCAGAAAAATCAGTTCTACAACATATCAAAAAATTTTTTTTCCTCCGGAGCCTGACTTTAAATTAAGAAGATGGATTTATATGTCCATACACACGTGGATATACCTGTTGAGAACTT